TAGTGTTATGAATCATAATCTAAGTATCTGATATGTGAGCCTATGGGGGGAAAATGGGTCATTTGTCCTCAAAGGGGTCATGATCTACAGGTTGAGAACCACTTGGATCCTAAGCCCTTCCTGGAAATGTCAGCAGGGCTTAAAGGAATGAGTTTTTGGAGATTGAAGCTGCTGTTAGACTGTGGAAAAGGCAAAACTCTTCTTCTGCCTTTGTCTCCCAAGTGCTGGGATTAAAGGTGTGTGCTACCACTGCCCGGCTGTTTTCTTTCTCTTTTGGTTTTTCATGACAGAGTTTCTTCTGTATAGCCCGGATGCCTGGAACTTGCTCTGTAGACCAGGCTGGCCTTGAATTCAGATTATCTACCTGTATTTGCTTCCTGAGTGCTGGGATCAAAGGCATGGACCACCACTGCCTGGCTTCTTCCTTTCCAGGCAAAACTTTTTGAGTGGAATTGAGAACCTAGCCTCAGGGAGTAGAACAGGGTTTAAGTTTACCTGAGGAGAATTAAGGCATAATCTGTATGTGGTTCTGAGGTACTTCCTCTTTGTGTGTTATGCATTCATTTTTCTTATCACCTATCTACAGGCATTGCAGCTCTTTGAGTCCCATGCAGGACATCTTGGCTCAGAACTCTTTGGCAAGTTTGCACTGCCCTACATCCGTGATGTGGCCAAACGAGTCAAGGCTGGGCTGCAGAAGGCAGGTCTGGCACCAGTGCCCATGGTGAGGACAGGGACAGGGCTAAGTCCTGCATGGACTGAAGTCACCACTGGAGGGCAGCAGAAGCCCAGCCGAGAAAGGCTACTGGGCACAGCAAGGCTTAGAGTCAGAGATCTGCTCTTTTTCTCCAGATCATCTTTGCTAAGGATGGACATTTTGCACTGGAAGAGCTGGCCCAGTCTGGCTATGAGGTAGTTGGGCTTGATTGGACAGTGGCACCAAAGAAAGCCCGGTGAGTGGAGGAGTGGTCACTAGAGGCTGAGGAAGAGGGGTACAATCCCCAAATATGCAGTGATGAGAATGTAGCAATGGCTCTGTTTCCAGGGAGCGTGTGGGGAAGACGGTGACCTTGCAGGGGAACCTGGATCCCTGTGCCTTGTATGCATCTGAGGTAATAACTGGGCCATGCAATGAATGGTTTTCTTATACCCGTCTTTGCTCTCCTCTATCCTATACACACCTAAGAAAGCAGGACATTTTTAACAGGACCCAAACCAGAGCTTTGTGCTTGCTAGGCAAAGCTTTCTACCACTAAGTTAAATTACCAACTCCTCCCCCCCACCTTTTTTTTTGAGACACAGTCTCATGAAGCCCAAGCTGGCCTCAAACTCACTGTGTGGAGCTGAGGCATATCTTGAACTCATCTTCCTGTTTCCTCTTCTAAAGTGCTAGGATTGTGGATATACCCCACTACACCCAGCACTCTTTTGTATGTTTTTGGTAAACTTATTTATTATCATTGTGCATTTGGGTATGTATTTATGGTGCACATGGAGAGGTTAGAGGACAACATTGTAGTCGGTTATCTTCGTCTTACCTATTTATGGGTTCCAGGGATTGAACTCAGGTCATCAGGGTTGCACAGCAAACATCCTACCTGCTGAGCCATCTCACAGGCCTCTCATTTCTATTTTCTTCTTGTCTGGTGCCTGAAGCATCTGGTAAAATCTGTTGCATTAATGGCAGTAACCTCCTCCTGCGTATGTGTGTATCGCTGTCATGTACAGGGAGGATAGAGCCTTGCTGACCTCTCCTATATATAGACAGTGCTCTCTTGGTCCTCTAGGAAGAGATTGGTCGACTGGTGCAGCAGATGCTGGATGAATTTGGGCCACAACGCTACATTGCCAACCTAGGGCACGGGCTTTATCCTGACATGGACCCAGAACATGTAGGAGCCTTTGTGGATGCTGTGCACAAACATTCACGTCTCCTTCGACAAAATTAAGTATACGTCTTTCTGCTCAAGGACCAGCCACACAGGTTGTTTCCAAGAGAATAAAACTTCCAGAGTTGGAGTCTAACATGTTCCTTTGTTTGTAAAGGTTAATGTCCTTATCCTCAGTTTCCCCTCCCTTCCTCTCCCTCTTTTACACACACACACACACACACACACACACACACACACACACACACACACACACTCACACACTCACACACTCACACTCGCGCCTGGAACTATGCAGACCAGGAGACCAGGTTGACCTCAAAACTCAGAGGTCAAAACCTCTCTCTCTCTCTCAAGTGCTGGGATTAAAGGTGTGTACCACATTAGGCCAGGCTCCTTTGTTCCTTTTCCTTATGCCTCCTCTGTATCTTCTTCCATGAGTCTCTGGGCACAAGTATCAATGAACATGCCCTACAGCATTAACACCAGGCTCACACTGCCATTATGTTATCAGTCATCCAAGCCCAAGAGTGACATGATAATAGGTATGCCTTTCCAGGTAGTTGGGGCTATGACATTTATAGACAGAGTCAGGGTCCAAAGGTCATAGGGCTTTATGTCTCTGAAGGAAGGAGAAGATCAAAAAGGGCACAGAAGTGGCTAGAACACTTGGGAGTTCCAGAGAGGAAGATGGAGTCTAGGTAAAGAGGAGCCAAGAAGACTTTAGCTTTGATACCACAGGATGGGAAATACAAAGATGCAGCATTAAGCTCCTGGGACTGGAGCCTTAGGCTGGTCCGTCACCAAGGCATGAAGGGCTCCGAAGCCAAAGGCGCCTTTGGCATGTCAGCTCAGTGTGCATTATTTCCAGAGCACACCCACTGATTTTCTCAGAATCCTGGGACCCTGCTTACCATGTGACATTGGGACATGGCTGTTCTGAGGTGCCTTAGAGCTCTGGAGACTGGTGTGATGCAGGGAATATTTCATCTGTCCATTATTGTATATCTCTGTTTAGGCCCAACCAGATCCCTGTCCCATCAAAGGAGAGAAGGGTCTCATTGACTGATAGAACACAATTTCTGCTTTAGAAAAAGATGATCTTTTCTGTGATCCATGATTTATTCATAGAAAAGCACTCAGTTCACATACTTCCTAAAAAAGGGCAATCATGATACAGAAATGGGAGTGGCTTTTCTTTTTTTTCTTTTTTTTCTTTTTTTTGCCAACCCACTGGGCTGAGACAGTGTAGGGCCCTTGGCTGGACAGTAAAACGTTAGTAGCCATGAACAGCAAATACAACTTACTGGTCAGTTTGGAATAAAAAAGATAACAAGTGGTTTTCCAAAGAAAAATAAAGTAAATCAGACAGAAAGGTCCTTAGTTCATACTCTAGCTATACCACCCCTTCTTTATCAAACCCCACCCAACTCAGGAACTAAGACACAAAACAGTCAACACTCAAGACACCTGTACCCAACTGATTATTCTGAATGCCCTTGCTACCTCCTATAATTTCAGGCTAATCATAGGGGCCATGAAGTAGTAGGAACGTGAAACACTGTGCAGGTCAGCATGGGCTGATGGGGGTTACCCACTAGGACTAGAAATTAGGAAGGGCAATACTAAAGGAATACCAGCCTCAGCCTCCAGATTAGCTACCAGTAGGACCACGATGAATGTAGGCAGAGGAAGGTTGAGGTAGAGTCAGAGGAAGAAAACAAGTTTGTGTAAGAACCGTGGAATGAAAGTGGCCAGTCTTAATGGCAGAGGGACACTCATGTTTAGAAACTTGTTTGCCGAGAGAAGGTAAATGGAGGAGGCACAGAGATGGATAACAATGTTGAGCTAGCAAGAGACTAAGGAATGGGCAAGAGAGAACTGGCAGAAAGAAGGCACACTCATGCAGATCCCCAAGCATGAACACTGACAGACTACATGTAGAGACCACTCACCTAAAGACATATGGTCAGCAGGCATACAGTTAGACACAAACATATTTATACACAGGTACCCGTGTGTGCCTAGATACACATATACACTAAACATGGAGACATGAGTACACTGAACACTTAGATATGCATTAACACACACACACACACACACACACACACACACACACACACGAAACAGCAAACAAACTCACAGTCTAATATGTGTCACGTAATTTACACACACAGAACTGACTCAGGCATGCACATGTGTAACTTTGTACACAGACACATGTTCTCATCCATACAGAGACACACACGTACAAATTGGAGATGAAGCAGATTCTCTAACATAAAGGTGACCAGAGCAGATGTATCATATACGCTCAATGGCTTCTTAGACCTTTGTCTTCTCCCTGCAATTATTATTCAGGTGTTCATCAGGCTCCTGTGTGTGTGTGAGGCAGAGACAGGAGCTTCAGTGTTATCACAGCTTTGTGACACAAATGTCTAAGCCCAGTCTTAACCTCTGCTCCTCAACGGCCACTAGGCTAGTTGTCCTATCTGTAGGCCATAGTTTCTGTACAGACAAGACTTGGATTTTAACTGTCCATTTTTCTCCCTGCTGCCCCCGCTTATCCACTGCCAACAGTATATACTCTCTCTGTATGGGAAACCTGAGAAATGGTTGTGAGTCTCCTCAGAAAACAAGTCTATCCTCCCACCCACAGCTACTTTAAGTGCCCATCAAATCAGAGTCAGAATTATAAATAGTTACAGCTTTACAATGCTTGACAACACATATACTATAGTATTTACAGTACCATAAATGCTTCTGTTTCTCTGGTTAAGCAATCCCTGAGACGGAACAGTGTTCTGTGTTTGCCAAGGGAGAGGGGCCAATGGCCAGGACACGCAGGATATAGGGGCGTGAGGTGACATGTTGTGGGGACATCTGATCGGTCTGCAGGGCCCAGCTCCTCCAGGAACAGTGGGGCTAGAGTGAGAAGCTTGCCAAGGCAGGAATACTGGTTAAAGTTGGACTCTCCCCATCCTTAGGTCTGTGGTACTTTTGGCTCAGCCACAAGTGCCCAGAGTCCTCTCAGGGTAGACAGATGTTTCAGAGTCCATGTCCTGACCTGGGAGCCCAGGCTGCCCTGGCAGCAAGCTATCCACTTCCTCAGCCAAAGCGCTCCCGAACCAGCAGCATCAGCTTCTTCTTGCCTTTGTAAATCTGTTTGAGGTTGTCAATGAATTGGGCAAATTGCAAGTGACCATCCTGGGGCAGTAGGAAGGTCTCCCGAGCCTTGCTCAGAAACTCAATGAACTCTCCATAATGGCGGGGACTGATGTGTGTTAGACGGGAGTGTGTGGTGTTGATATAGGCATTGATGGTGGCATCCAGTAGCTGGCGCAGTGGAGCTTTGTCCGTTGACATGAGCTTTCCAGAGCTGCGGCGGCCTGGGATCCCTGCTAGGCCTGGTGCAGTCACTGTGCACCGACGTAGGATATCGGAAAGCACTGTGGCACAGTGCACACTCTTCACCACCAGGGGGATGAGAGCTGCCAGTTCATTCTTGCCCAGAGAGTGGCTGAGGGCACAAGCCCAGAGCACATCGTTGATGGCTGGATGGGTATCCTGGTTTTAGGCCAGGTTAAGATGGCTCATGGCCAGTGAGGCCAGCTTGAAGGCACGCAGCGGGTAGCCACGGAGCTCCATATAGCGGGCAATAGTGAACAGCTGTGAATGAGTCATGCCACCAGCAGCAGCATCAATGGCAATCTGGTAGGCTGCCTCAAAGGCAATGTGGTCTTTCTCACAGAGTGTAAGAGCTGATAAGGCACAGCTCTGTGGATCCTTCATAGCACATTGCAGGGCCAGTGTGCGAGCACAGCTAGCCAGTTCCTCCCGCTGTGGGTAGTCAAGACTGAGGCGCAGGATAGTGGTGTGGGATACAGCTGTGGCGGCCACAATACTTGTAGCTTCGGTGGGGGTGAAGAGTGTGTACCAGCTCTGCAAGATGCTCACCAGGGCCCGAACACCTGTCAGGGAGAGCCTGAGCTCAGCAGTGCTCAGATTACCATTTGGGGTCTGAACTTGGCCTGCAGAGATGAGTTCTCCCTCCTCCTCAGCAGCCTTGAGATGATCTGAGGCAAACCAGGGCAAGGGGAGCATCCCAGATGGCCAGACCCTGTTTGGGATCTCTTCCCATCCCTTCCTTCCTAGGCCAGAGAGCTAAAGGTCTCTGCTGCACCCTCAGCACTTCATACAGATGAAGCTACTGAGCCCCAGGTCTGCCTGCCTCAAGGCAGGGCCCTAGGTTTCCCTGGGGGTTCTAGCTGAAGTAGGGCATCTGGGGAAAGTCTTGTGCTGGGGCTTTGGGTTCTAGAATGGGTCCCAAGCCTACAAGTTGTCTGTGGTTTTCCAGAAGCACAGACAAGAGACTGGGCCCACTCACTCCCAAGGGAGTACATGGGGACTGGTGACTGAAAATACATTTTTCGGACATTTCTCTCATCACAGAGGGTCAAAGTGCTGCTGACATCAGGGTGTGGTCCAAGCAATGAGGGAGGGCTTAGGCTGGCTGACCTGAGGCCATCTTCTAGCAGCACATCCTTTCCCAGGCTGCCAGGAATAGAAATATGACAGCTCTAAGGATTCACTGTCCTGTCACCAAAAGCTGGACCTACAAACTCCCCAAGAGGAAGAGAGAGGTGGGAGACTCACCCACTTCTGTAGCACAAGTAACCAACCATCGAACCATCTCTCGGCGCCTCCAGTTAAGGGTTGATAAGGTCATCCGCATTACCTAGACAAGAGAGGCATTTCCAGGGGCCCACGCCTAATAGATAGGAGCCTCTCTTCCCTTCTATTTTGTACTATTTTTTCATGCAAAGGACATTTTTGTTTGCTGGAGACAGGGTCTCATGTAACCCAGTCTGGCTTTCTACTGTCCATGACCTTGAACTTCTAATTGTTCTTGTTCTATCTCCCCAGCACTGACCTTAGAGACGTATCCCACTATGCCCAGTGTATGCAATATTAGGGATCTTGTTGCATGTAGGTAAGTACTCTACCAAATGAGATACATTCCCAGCCCAACAACGAATATTTTTCATTATTTGAATAGTGGTCTTTTCTCTGTGTGTGGATGTTTAATTTCTCCTCACCCTACTCGCTAGACATAAGGCTTCTCTCACGATTGACCACATATAAGACTCTTATCATAACTTGACTAACTTGGAGGAAGAAGGGGAGGGCAGAGAAGACGGATACCCTATAGTGCCTAAAGCTACTTTACTTCTGGCCTTAACTTTAAAATGGAGGCCAATTTTATAGACTCCTTACCTTCTGTCTACTCTAGAACTTATATTCTGGAAGACAGAAAGAACCAGACATGGCTATGTTCAGTCCCCTTGCAATAGCTTCTGCCAATTGTCAGTAGCTAGAAACATAAGGCTGGGACAGTGGTCTCATCCCCATACCTGTAACCCCAGTTCCAGGGCCACATTGAGCAGAGTGCTGTCTGTGCTGCTGTCCGTGGGAGTAGCAATCTTGAATGCATCTTGAGCCAGCTTGAAGATGAGGGAGGAAGAATGAATGTGCTTCTGTATTGCTTCCAGAATAGTTCGGAGCCTCAGAGTATCCCCTATAGTCATCAGAAAGGTAGAGGCAGGGTTCATTTGAGAGTTTCCCTAGACAATAAGCTGTTCACAATAGACACTAGTTGAACTATGCTAATTTACCTGATGCTCTTAACTGCTACCATCCCTTCTGGTTGGTCAAGTGTCTCTTCTGAACTCTCTGGTGGAGCTTTCTGTTCCCAGGCACCCACATGAGTTCACCTTGCCTGTCTTTTTTCCTAAGTTATTTTATTTTGTGTATATTGGTGTTTTGCGGTATATATAGACCTGTGTATTGTGTGAGTCCCTGGAACCCACAGAGGTCAGAAGAGGCCTCCAGTTCCCTGCAACTGGAGTCAGAGAAGTTATGAGCTGCCATGTGGGTGCTGAGAATTGAACCCAGGTTCTTTGGAAGACCAGCCAGTGCTCTTCCACTGAGCCATCACTCCAGCCTCACATCTCCCATATATATTTGGTGAACCAATTGAAATATTAACTCAAGTCCATACTTTAAGGTACATTGTCTCTGTGTTACACCGTTTATACGAGTACATAATTGCAATGTCATACTGGCTATTTTCACTGCCCTAAAAACTTCTATGCTCATCAAACCTTTCCCTATTTCTTCTGGACCCTGGCAACTACAGTGTCATGCAGTTGGAATTACATAGAATGCAGTATTTTCAGACAACTTCTTGCAATATGCAACACACAACTGAGGTTCCTGTATGTGAGGCTTATTTTGTTTCATTACTAGGACACAATGCAATTTGCCTTTTCAAACCTTTTGAAGAACATTTTGGTTGCTTTGGGGGATGAAAAGATATATAAATATTCCTGTACACATTTGGGTATTTATATGTTTTTTACTCATTTGGGTAATACCTAGGAACATGACTGCTGGAACATGTGTTATGACTACATTTAGCTTTGTTCAAAACAAAACAAAACCCTGCCAAATCTCTTCCAAAGTGGCTATGCTATTTTACACTTCCTCAGCAGTGAGAATTCCCGTTGCTCTACACTGTTACCAACATTTTCGTCTATAGCCATTCTAACAGTGTATGTGGTATCTCATTGATTTAATTTACAATTTCCTATGATACATGACCTTGAATATCATTTCATATGCTTGTTTGCTACCTGTAGATCTTTGGCAAGATATCTTTTCAGATCTTTAGTCAGTTTTTATTTTATTTATATTATTTTTGAAACAGTGTCTCACTATGTAGCTATGGCTACTGCAGAACTCACTATGTAGACCAGGCTGGCCTCAAACTCAAGAGATCCGCCTGCCTCTGCCTCCTAAGTGCTGGGATTAAAGGCATGTGCTACTACTCCTGGTGATGGGGGGGATATCCTTTGTTATGTTGTGACTATGTGTTTCTCTTATTGGTTGATGAATCAAGTTGTTTCCACCAATAGTCAGGCAGAATTTAGGTAGGTGGGAATTCCAAACAAAGAGGCAGGAAGAAGACAGAATGAGAGGACTCCATGTAGCCTCGGGGGAATCAAGAGACGCAGGCATCACTGGCAAGCCAAGGCTACATGATGATACACAGACTAATAGAAATGGGTTAATAATTAAGAGAGAGCTAGGCAGTAAAAAGCCTAAGTCAATGGCCAAACAATTATAAACATATTATTAAGTCCCTGGAGTGGTTATTTCATAGTGGCTTCAGGGACCCGGTGGGCAGAGAGAAACAAGTCCAGTGGAATGGAGATAGACAGAGAAAGTTTCCCCTCCACACTCCTGGCTTTAGTCAGTTTTTAAACCGGACTACCAATTTTACTTCTGAGGCAGAGTCTCATGTATTCCAGGTTGGTCTTGAACTTATGTAGTGGAGTCTGATCTTGAACTCCTGATCCTCCTTCCTTCAACCTCTTGCGTATTGTGATTACAGAAGTACACCGTTATGCCTGGTTTATGCAGTGCTGGGAATCAAACCCAGGGCTTCAAGCATGCTAGGCATGCACTATACCAACTATGAGCACCAGCTTCCTGATGGGTTTAAGAATTCTTTGTGCCAGGCAGTGATAGTAAACACCTTTAGTCCCAGCACTCAGGAGGCAGAGACAGGTGGCTCTCTGTGAGTTTGAGGCCACCACTGGACAACAATAACAACAAAAAGTTAGTTTAAAAATCATTTGAGCCAGGCGTTGGTGGCGCACGCCTTTAATCCCAGCACTCGGGAGGCAGAGGCAGGTGGATATCTGTGAGTTTGAGCCCAGCCTGTCACCAGAGTGACTGCCAGGACAGACTCCAAAGCTACACAGAGAAACCCTATCTCAAAAAACCAAAACAAACAAACAAACAAAAATTAAAAATCATTTGATTCTGAAGCCAGACATGGTGGTACACACTTTTAATCCCAGCACTTGGGAGGTAGACACAGGTAGATTTCTGTGAGTTTGAGGCCAGCTTACTCTACATAGTGAGTTCAAGGACAGCCAGGTCTATGTAGAGAGAACTGTCTTAAAAAAAAAAAATAAGCAAGATGGTGCATGCCTTTAATCTCAGCACTTGGGAGGTAGAGGCAGGTGGATCTCTGTGAGTTCAAGGCCAGCCTGGTCGATAGACTGAGTCCTAGGACAGCCAGGGCTACACAGGGAAATCCTGTCTCAAAAAATCAACCCAATCCAACGAAACAATAATAAACAAACAAAAATCATTTGATTATGGTACTGAGGAGATGGGTTTTGGTTAAAGAGAACATATTGTTCTTACAGAGTACCCAAGATCAGTTCCCAGCACCCATGTCAGGGGGCTCACAACTAACTACAACTCCAGCTGTGAGCAGATCAGAAACCTCTGACATCATCCAACACTGGCACTCAGGTCCACAGACACACAGTATGAAATAATTTTAAAAAAAATTTAAAAATCGCTTGATTCTATATATTCAGGGTTTTACAATTAGTAACTAAGGCAAAATTCTGGTCTGAACTCAGGTGCTTTCTAATGAGCAGTCAACATGAAGATCCCCACTGCTCTTGTTAACACTGACACATGGCTTCTCTTTTTCAGAAGACAACGAGGCTCTGGGTGGGTAGGCTCAGCGGGGATGCTGTAGTCTGCTGTCTACCTGCACTTACCTTTGGCAGCAGTCAGCATGGTAGAGGCTAGTTCGCACTGCTGTGATTCCAAATGTCCGAGTGTGAACCACCGAGGATAGCGGCTGGGCACCACAGACACCATGTGATGCGGATGGGAAGTGTCGCCTGCAGAAGATGAGTTTTCTAGAACAGGCAACCTACAAGATCCAGGAAGAGTCATCAGCTTCATCTGTACTCTTGACCATTGTGTTCCCCTGTAGGGGAGTCTGCTTTTTGCTGGGGAAGAATTGGTCAGGGAAGGACAGGCTGAGAGCTTTGAAGGGTTTTAAACCTACAGTATATATCAGGTGCCTGGCACTTGGAAACCTTGAGCTGAACAGTTCCCACTATAAAGAGATTTGACCAGCACGCAGAGTGCCATAGTGTTATCTTGGAGAGCATAAGGAACACATGCCAAAGAATTTCCTTTTTAGCTAAGGAGTTCTATCAGTCTTATGGCCTAACTAAAATTCTTCCCGTGTGGTCTGCTACATCCCAGAGATCTATACTTGTAAAATAAGGATCCTATTCCAGTTTGAAAAGAAGATTCTCATAGAGCATTGTTTCTAGGCCTTGGGGTATACATATTTATCTCTGCTTCTCCCACACTCCTCTGGAGACCTATACCTGGACCCAAGACTGAATGGGGTTATAGGAGGACATAAATTCTTTCTCAGGCTACCCCAGTGGCTCCAAAACAAGGAGGCACCATATCTATTATACGTCAGGGGCCTGCTCAGACAATCTACCATGAGTATGGGGAGGGGCTAAGTATTTTATTAATAAAGAATCCCAGATCCTAAATTATATGGAATACTTAAGCAGCTGTAAGAGAGGCTTGGTGTCAGGGGACAAACAAAGAGGGCAAGGGGAGTAGGATAAGCAAAGAGAGAGGGCACTGAAGATATGTGCGTTGGTGGAGACAAACAGGCTAGACATGGGTTACCCACCTCATGGCTCGTAAGGCTAACTTATAGGACAGGTCTGGATCATGAGGCAGCAGAGCTGAGAATAAATACTTGGCAAAGGTGTGCATAGGGACACTCTCCCGGTGGATAACTTCTCCTAGACCGCTGAAGGGGCCTCCTGAAGGAAGAAGTTAATCTAGCCAACTATTATTTATTTGTAGAGAGAGAGAGAGAGAGAGAGAGAGAGAGAGAGAGAGATTGAGAGTGTTTCTGTAGCCCTGGCTGTCCTCGAATTCAAGAGATCCACCTGCTTCTGCCTTGGGAGTGCTGGAATTAAAGGTGTGCACCACCACTGCCCAGTTTATTTTTGTATGCTTATTCCAGCCTAGATTCAGGAGCCCAGGGACCTATCTGAGTTTGTCTGCTAAACACAGGACCCATCATTACTCATTACTGTCATAAATATTTCTATGTCTGTGCTATCTTAGAGAAGGGGGCCCAGAGTCACAGCCAAGGATTTTGTTACCTTTCTTCTTACCTTCCAGCAGCAAGATGCACTGTTTCCGCAATGTCTGTACCAGCTCGTCATCCAGCTGCAGTTCCTGGAGTTGGCTTAGAAGCTGCTCCTCATTACGGCACACCTTGTCCTGTGCATAGAGGCCCTCGGGCATTACCCTCTGTTGACCCATGCCCATCAGAGCAACTTCCAGGGCCAATGACAGGTACGACTCATTGCTATTTGGGCAGCCTGAAGCCACAGGTACATGCTGGTACACAGGTAGTCTGCTTTCATTCATATCTGAGGGCAACAGGCATACCAGGTTCTTAGGACAGTTCTAGTAGGTTTTTCTGTGCCTCTACCCATCCTAATTTGGGGTATCAGTTGCTTAATAGTTATCACAAAGCTAAGTCAGAACCTCAAAGCAGTAAGAAAAATACACTTGCTGAAAAAATAATGTTAAGACTCACAAAGATTCCTACATAACCCACAAATTGGCTAGGCCAGTCAGGGAAGCATCTTTTGCCAGTGCATTCTATATAATCTCTTAATTGTTTTGGTGTCTGTTTCTGTTACCTCAGTGTGTGTACCTTAAAGGAGTGAGACCATCTCACTGTCCTGTTTCTCTAGGCCCTGCCTGACACTAAAAGAGCAGTGTATATCAGTGGTAAACAAATAAATCAAGTGCAACTTCAGGTTTTTCAAGCTATAAATGCCATTGTGTAGATGACGGTGACGAAAGATGTGGACTCTCTGTGCAGGAGATCAGAAGGACCATAAGGGCCTGCCCTAGTTTGGCTTGGGTTAACTCTTACATCTCTACCCAGAGATACCTGACTCCATTCAGTTTAGCTCTTACTTGGTAACACTTGCAACTTCTATATTATGATTTTATATGCTCCACTCAGAATTTCAGGAAGCAAGCACTTGTGTAAGAGCCAGCGTCTTAGTTTTAGCTCCTCAGGATACTGTGGTGAAAGAATGGTTTGAGTGCATGAGTTCAAAACCAGCATGGGGAATAAAAAGGGTTATATGGGAGAGTTTGGAGGGAAGAAAGGGAAGGGAGAAATGACATAATTATATTACAATCTCAAAAATAAAACAAACAAAAAAGATCTTGATTTTCTTTTTTCCCCCTTTTTCTATTAAGTAGCTTTGAAAGATAAGTAAGTGGCAGGTAATGCTAGGATCACATGAAGATTAGTCATAATTTCTGTTTGCAAGCAGCTGATAGTGTGGTTAAGAGATATTTGTAGCCACTGTAATGCAATGGGCTAATACGAAAGTAAATGCAAAATTAAACAGTGATAGCACAAAGGAAAGAAGAAGCAATTGTGTACCTAGCCTAGCTATTGTGGAATAGTTAGGCTATTCTTCTCCACATTTGGAGAACTGGTACAAAACCACCATGAGGGAGGGTGTTAAAAGAAAATCAGAGTATTGCTTGGAAGCTAGTTAGGTGTTGGCAGGCTTAAAGGTCACTGGGGACTGACCCCTTCATAATCAGCAGCTATAAAATGAGGACCTGAAACTTCAGTCTTTGATTGCTAGATTTTGGATCTGGGATTGGAGAGATGGCCCAGCAGTTAAGAGCTTTTTACTGCTCTTCCATTCCTAGCACCCATGTCAAGTGGATCACTCTAGCTCCGGGGGCATCTGATGCCTCTTTTAAAAAGAAATAAAGAAAGTGGAGGTGGGAGGGGGTGATCTGAGTTTTATCCCTGGCCTTGGGTGGAGAAATGACATTTTATTCTGCAGGAGAAAAATTACTATTTAGCTACAGGCTTTCTGGTAAAGAATAAAGATTCATCATTGCATTCTTTCTTAATACCTGGGTAGGAAGGTGCCCTCTAGATGTCTGTAACAGCAGTTTTAGAAGTAGTATAAAGCCTACCTAAGATTTTAGATCTCTATAGTCACTGTTACCTCTCTGAGGGTGTTCTGCTGTGCAATGGCCCCTCCAGCACTATCCACTCTCCTTTAGACAGTGTAATACTTTACCTGTAGTAGAGTCCAATCATCTGCACTATACTCTGTGTGTCTTGTATAATATATTTTTTTTTAAATTTGTTTGCTTTTGAGACAGGGTCTCACTATGTAATCTTGGCTGGCCTTGAACTTGATATGTGTAGACAACTTTAGCCTCAAACTCATATAGATCTGCCTGCTTTTGCCTCCTGAGTGCTGGGATTAAAGGCCCGCACCATCATGCTCAGTCCTGTCTAAATTCTCTCAACAGACGTCACAAGGATTGGGGTGCCCAGAGGAAACTAGCACAAGATCTTGCTAATGATATTAAATGATTTCAAAGACAGATACTTTGTTGTTTTCTGAGGCAGGGTCTTACACTGTGTGGTCCAGGCTGGACTTTTCTAAGTGCTGAGATTATAGGCCTGCACCACTATACCTGGGCTTTTGGTTTTCTTTTTTTAATGACATGGTGTAGGCTAGCTCTGAAACTCAGCTCAAATGATCTTCCTGACTTAGCCTCCTGAGCAGCTGTGGCTACAGTGGGTGCTGCCGTGAATAGCCTGACATACGCACTCTTGATGGAAGCTCTATTCCATTTCCAGACTGCTCTGAACTTTTGGCCCCCAACTCCTGAAATTCCTGTAGCCCTTCTTACTTCCCTAAGGAAGCTAGTAAGGAAAGCAGGGTATGCATGACCAGACCACAGAGTTTGGCAGAGAAGGCTGCCATGGGCAGTCCTGGCTTGTCTCAGGCTGACTCGGGTACCTGACATTTCCATGTAGCTGTCATCATTCAGGCGGCAGGCCTCAGTCAAAGTGAGAAACAGGCAGCCAATGGGATCCAGGGGGTGGCCCACCCAGCCCTCCAGGTTTGTGATTGTTGTGGTTCCTCTCTGCAATAATTCTGGAAATAAGCAAGTTCCAAGTTTTAGACAGATAGAGATGGGAATTGTGCTTTTCTTTTGCTTTGGTTTCCTAATCAGTATCATTCAGGCCTTGACCAGAAAGTCAAAGGAAATCTCCCCTTATTGTCATGTCTTTGCTTGACTGGCCTGATCACAAGTTCACAAGTTCAGCCAGCTCTAATTTGGATTGTGTACTGGCAGTGCATATGTGGAGACAGCTTTACAGTTTCAAAAGCATCTTCTCTGGTCTTAATGGGCCTTCCACCTGCCCTGTGATGTGCAGACATCATTGTTCCTATTTTATAAACAATAAAGCCTAGATTCACAGGAACAGCATGAGGTACCCCACTCAGCAGGTAGAATTACTTGGAATTCTCAAGCCCATGGTCCTGAATGAAAATCAGGTTCTGGGTCTTTTTATCTCTGAGGATCCTTGTCACCCTCAGACCCCAAGATGTTAGAGAATTCCTAATCACTATACCTTTCTTCTGGTGTTTGTAGATTTCTAGCTGCCGCTGCTGCTGCAACCTCAGAGTATTGATGATGGCCACTGTGAGTCTGAGAGCCTCTTTTGGATACCCATGAGATCGCAGCGCATCAACCCGAGCACAGGCTGTAGGCACATGCTCTACCAGGCAGGAAGGAAATATTTTGGTTGAGTTCAAGTCAGAAAAGTCCATGTTTGACAGACAAAGGGAATCTTGTTCAGACGTGTTACTTAGATTCAACTTGGCATTGCTTTGTAACAGGGACTGTGTTTTATCTTCAAGAACATAAAATTTTTATATGTGGCTAGAGATAGCCTGGAAAAGTAGAACACCCCATGCTCTTGTCTCGCCTCTCTCCAGTGAATTTGACTCTCTCTCTCTCCCTCCTTCCCTCCCTCCCTCCCTCTCTCTGTCTCTCTCTCTCTTCTTTCTTTTTTTCTTCTTGAGATAGGGTTTCTCTGTGTGGCCCTGGCTGTACTGGAACTCCCTCTGTAGACCACACTGGCCTTGAACTCACAGATATCTACTTGCCTCTGCTTCCCAAGGGCTGGGATTAAAGGTATACTAAAATTATAGAAAAAATTTAGAATAATTATAGGAATGAAACTGAGACTGGGAGGTGGAAGCAGGAAGATTGCTGGGGCTACTTGGCTAGCCAGTCTAGGTGAATTGCTAAGTTCCAGGTTTAGGGGCAGATTCTCTCAAAATATAAGGTGGAAAGAGATTGAGGAAGATACCTGATGTCTACTTCTATCCTTTACATGCACACCCACACATCTGAATTCATAAACACATACATACACACACATAAATGATGCAGAAGACTTAAACACATAAATAAGCAAAATACAAAATAAAAATAAGATAATTTCTATTTACAGTTTCATGTATACTTATTCAGATTTTTCAATTTTTAAAGCAAATTTTGGATATTATAATTATTGTTTTATAACTTAATAGTACATTGTAAATATTTTTCCATGGCATTAAGTATGCTTGTATAACATTTAAGATAGATACATGTCATTCCACTGACTATTCATCTACTGGTTAATCAAATTGGACATTGAAGTAGTTCCCAATTCCCATCTGTACATCATTTATTTCTGTGCTGTAATGAGCCTCTTAGTATGCTGGCTTGCTTGCTTGATTTATTTAGTTAGCTGGGTTTTGGAAACAGTCTCACTGTGTAACCCTAGCTAGTCTAGAACTTGCTACATAGACCATACTGGCATTGAACTCAGAGATCCACCTGCCTCTGCCTCCCAAATTCTGAGGTTAAGATATGTATCACCAAATCAGGCTCCTAAACTGTATTTTAGAATGAGCGTTATCTAATAAAGTTAGGGACAAACCGATTGTAAACCAGACAACTATTGCAGAAGAAGTTTAAAGTGGATGAAACAGTACTATCTTGTTATAAAGGATGCTAGGAAGATGAGACAGAGAAAAGGAAGACAGCCTGGTGATGAACACAGACTGCATCCTAGGTACAAACAGTGTTTCAAACAGTGTTATTTTTATGTGTGTGTGCTCATGTATGCTCATATGTGTGGAGTCCAGAGGACAACCTTGGGTGTTACCCCTAGACATTATCCACCACTTAAATTCTTTTTGACATATTAACCAGTTTATAATAGGCTTAGCAGAGTAGAGAGGCTAAGAGAGAAGAGGAACAGGGTTAATGGCTGACCGCCATGGCCAGTCACCATATAGAGGCAGAAAGAGCGTAAGAGAAGAGAGAAGAGGAGAAGATGCAGAGAAAAGAGCCATCTCTTAAAAATTTTTCACATGTTATTTATTATTATTGTGTGTGTCAATGCATGTTTGTGTATGCCACAGACTGCATGTGGAGATCAAAGGATACATTTCAGGAGTAGGTTCTTTCCTTCCACTATAGTTTCCAGCAATTAAATTCAGGTCATCAAACTTCTGCAGCAAACATTTTTACCCACACAGCTGTTTTGCTAGCTCCTTTTTCTTTTAAAGACAGGGTCTTTCACTGGCCTGTAACTAGCCACTTACACTTGGCTAGCAAGCTCCAAGAATCTGCTGTCTCTGCCTCCCCAGTACTGGGATTGTAAGTACATATTACCATGCCTGGATTCTTTTACATGGGCTCTGGGGATCAAACTCCCGTGCTTACTGACCAAGTTACCACCTCAGTACCCATAATGCATTTCAAGCAAAACATGTAAGTTTAGAGCAGAATATAATGTTGCTTAATAAGAGATGACCAAAAGTGTGTGAACTGATTTCTAGTGGCTTCATTATTACTCTTCAATATGTATCAACTGCTTTATCTCCTTCCCAAAGCTTAGAGAAAGGATACAAATTTTCACCAGAGATTGTTATACCTTAGAGTTAAGCACATACACAAATGAAGCAGGCCTCAAATAAATGACCTGAGTTGATAGTAAACACTCCAAAAGAGCGTTACAGACGCTAAGCTGTAGCTAGTATTGCTGGCACCTATACTGCTGGCTCATATGGGCCTGGTTCAGGTAGGATTGAACCCTGACATTCTTGGAGCACAGGAGGGCTAGACTTACCAAGCCACAGTGGCTGGCCATGGGAATTAAAGAGTAGTCGCTCATTTTCCCGCTGGCAGGCAGGAGCTGTATAGATATCACTGCTGATTATCCGTTGTAGGTGGCTGTCCTGCCAATGTAATTCACGGCCTTCAATGGCTCTAGTGAAGACTGTTCGTCTTGGTCTGGATAAAGAGTCTGGGGGAGGAAAAAGAAAGGCTGAATAATCTTAAGCTCTAATACCTGGTCTTCTTTAGGTGGGAGGTTGACCAGAAGAACAGTCTGGACATTCTGTCTGGGTATTTGTGCTGTATCCTTAAATAAACCTTTTGTACATTTATGTTCTCTATCAAAAACCACCAAAAAAAAAAAAAACCTAAAAGCCTTATAGAGAGGTCTATGAATCCCTTCCTCCTTAACAGCCTTATATTAGTTCAGAGCCACATGAAGCTTGAAGGGACAGACATGCTCTGCTACTCAATAGTTAGGATATAAACTGCTTTCCATAGCAGTCAGAGGAGGAGAGAGGCAGCTTGATAATACCCTAACTAATCATAACTTGTTTCATTTGCAGCATGACCCTTATCATACTAAGGGCTTCTATGATATTCATATCAGAAGCTAAAAAATCTACTCAGGAAGGAGCCCAGCAGAGGAAGCTCACAAGTTTGAGGCTAGCTTGGTTGATATAATATTCTGTTTTAACAAACAAACAACATCCCCTGCCTCAGGTCCCCTAAAAAATAAAAAACAAAAATTTTCACATGACAATAAATAAAGGCTGAGATAGATGTAAAGGTGTCTGCATTTGGGGACATTTATCACTGCGCTGTTAGCTTACAGTTTGTTCTCCACAAGAAAAGCTGCTGCTGACAAAACTTTCTCATTGAGAACTGAACATGCCACCTCCCTTCAGGAAAAGGGCTGCAAGGAAGTCAACACTACAAAGTAAGCTCAAATCGCAACAGCCTCTGTGTCTGTATCTGTCTGTCTGTCTCTCTCCTATTTTATATCCTCTTCTAAGAATACTGAGTCAGTCCCGAAGTTAATCTGTTTTCAATATAACGTGTGCTTTGCTTGTTTCATCTTGTCCACTCTCACAGTACAGTAGTTCCCACACTTTGAGAATGAGTAATGGAGGCCCAGAGAGTTAAAGTGCCTCGTGGGGGACAGCCTGGCTCTTTATCTGGAATGCAACTTCCAGATAAAGTTCATGGCCTCCATCTTTTGCCTAACCATTCAGTCTTCGTTATTCTCCTCCGTAGGTTAGCTGTATCTTCTCACATATAGTGCAAACTCTTCTATAAGCTCAACTATTTTGGGGGATGTGTGGGAAGGTTGAGATAGGGTTTAAGCTTGCTATGCAGCTGAGGTTGGCCATGAATTTGATCCTCCTGCTTCTATTGTGCCCTGCTCTTACCTCTCAAGTACTGGGATTATAGGCATGTCTGACTTTACAGGCTCAATTTTATAAAGACAGTTGTGTGTGTGTGTGTATTGAACCCAGGTCCTCTGCAAGTGCTCTTAACTGCTGAGCCATCTCTCCATCTCCATAAACTCAGTTTTAAAGAACAGAACATGAGTGAACAATATGAAAGATCTACTTTATAAACTAAGAACTTATAGACATGGCATGTAAAAGATAAAAAACACAGGCTGCAGAGAGAGATGGCTCAGTGGTTAAGCACACTGGCTATTTTTCTGGACGACCAGTGTTCAATTCCCAGCACCTATGTAGTTCACAACCATCAGTAGCTCCAGTTCCAGGGAATCTGACACCCTCTTCTGGCAAACACTCATAAACATGAAATAATAAAAATAAAATTATCCAATATGCTTTAAGAAAAAAAAGCTATAATTCAGTTGCTACTTTGCCTGATTAATGAGAGTTGAAAATATTTGGGATCACGAATTGAACTACACAGATACCTTCACTGAAACCCAAATTAGATGCTATGTAATGAATGATGTGATGGCTCATCTCGCTTTTCCAACTTCACTAGTTTGGAAATCAGCTGAAACCCAAGCAGCTGAACACACCTGTGAGGGATTTTTCTTGACTGGGTTATTTGAGTTGGGAAGACCCACCCTAAATCTGGGATGCATCTTCTGGTGGCAGCCCACATATGAGGACATAGGAGAAGGAAGCTTGCTATTTTGCCTGCTTGTCTTCACTCTCCACGGCAACTTCATCCATCCTGCTGCTGAGGCACTCCTTCATTGGTACTAAAACCTATTTCTTCAGATTCCGAGACTTGCAGTCTCGGGGACTTAGAACTTGGGCAGCTCACAACTGTCTGTAACTCCAATTCCAGGGGCCCTGATACTCTCTTGCATCCACAGATGCTACATGCACATGGACAAACGCACACGTATACATACAAATGCAGTTAATTAATAACAATAGGTTACTTATTAATAATAAAACTAATTTAATTAATAGGTTTGCTTTAATCTAATGTTTCAGAACACACATGATTCATCTAATTGAGGTGCTGGGCAAAAGAGAAAACATTCAGGATAAGAGTACACAGAGTCGGGGCTGGAGAGATGGCTCAAAGGTTAAGAGCAAGGGCTGCTCTTAAATAGGTCCTGAGTTCAATTCCCAGCAACCACATAGTTGCTCACAACCATGTGTAATGAGATCTGGTACCCTCTTCTGGCATTCAGGTAGAACACTGTATACATTAAAAAAAAAAAAAGAGTATACAGTCTTCTATGGGCTAGAGTCTAATCTTTCACCTTGACTGAGTATTTACTATGGTCTGCTCAGCACACACTGGGTACAGGGTTCTCCTTGGTTTTCAATTCATTAAATCATCAAATACTTCATACCTAATACACAACAGATACTGTTGTAGATAGTATGGGTAAAGTCTGTTTCTATTAACCTTTACATTGAACTGAGGAGAGACAGTTAAATATACAGTACATCAGACATATACATTTATAAATACTACAGCAGAGTTAGGGAGAAAGGCAAGCAGGTATTAGGTTAGGGCTATTGTTTTGTATAGAGTGGTCTCTAGTAAAATAACATTTGAGAGGCTGAGGATGTAGCTCAGTTGGTAGGATGCTTGCCTAGCACCACATTAAACACTAGCACAGGGGTGTATGCCTGTAACCTCAGCACTTGGGAGGTGAAAGAAATTCAAGGCCACTCTTGGCTGCACAAAGATGATAGGTCAGCCAAAGATATACAAACCCATCTAAAAATCAAAACAAAAGCTGGGTGTAGTGGCACATATCAGCCTGGACTACATAGTTCCAGGCCAGTCAAGGGTACAGCAAGACTTTGTCTCAAAAAACAAAACAAAAACAAAACAAAACAAAACAAAAACCCCAAACAACTCTCCCGGAAAACAAAAGATAAAAACCACACACACACACACACACACACACACACACACACACACACACACACACACACTAAAATTCCAGGTGGGAAGAATAGCAAGCACCAAGTCCTGAGGTAGGAATGTATTTGGGGAAAGTGTGAAAACAGCAGAAGCCAGACTAGCTGGACGGAATGAGTAAGTTGTTAGACAGTTGTAACAGTTTTTCAGAGATAATGGTGGGAGGTCTAAGTAATAAACAGATGATAAGCATTTAGATTCTGGTTCTGCTCTGAAATAAAGGCAAATAAGACTTGCCCATTGTCTTAGGGTTTTATTGTTGTGAAAAGACACCATAACCATGACAACTCTTATAAAGGAAAACGTTTAATTGGAGCTGGTTTACAGTTTCAGAGGTTCAGTCCATCATGACAGGAACACAGGGGTATGCAGGCAGGCATGGTGTTGGAAAAGGAGCTGAGAGTTCTACATTTTGATCTGCAGGCAGCAGGCAGCAGGGACTGTGGTGATATTTTGTTTATGATCTAATAAAGCTTGCCTGAAGATCAAAGATAGCCACACTAGTCAGCCATTGAAGCCAGGCAGTGGTGGTACACACCTTTAATCCCAGCACTCAGGAGACAGAAGCAGAAGGATCTCTGTGAGTTCAAGGCCACCCTGGGCTACAGGAGATTGAATCTATATAAAAGAGAAACAGCTCACACAAAGATGATGCCAGCATTTGGGATCACACGTAATTTACTCTCAGCACTAGGGAGGTGGAGACAGGAGTGAGGGCGAGAGAGGAATATAAGGTGGGAGGAGACAGGAACTTGTAGTCTAAGCAATCTGAAGAGCAGTTCGATTTGGAGATGCAATCAAAGGACATGATCGCTCCTGAGTATTGGCAGAGGTGAGAACTCCAGTGAATGGCCACTTTGCTTCTCTGATCTTCAGATTTAACCTCAATATCTGTCTTTGGGTTTTTATTATTTGTGCTACAAAGGACCTGGGTGTAGCCTGAGCATATATGAGACCTTAAAGCTTACCACCACAGTGACTTATGTCCTCAAACAAGGCTACACCTCCTAATGTGCTACTCCCCTATGGGCCAAACATTCAAACACATGAATCTTTGGGGGCCATACCTATTCAAACCACCATACCCACAAATGAGATAGGCAGTGAGAGAGAAATAAGAATCAAGAATGATTTCAAACTGAGCAAAGTGGTACAGGCCTGTAATTCTACTTCTTGGAAGGCAGGGACAGGGTTAGTAAGCTTGAGGACAGCCTGTGCCTGCCTATCTAAAATAACAAAACAAAAACAGAAAAAGAACAAGAGAAAAGGAAGGAGGAGGAAGAGATTAATAAGTAAGGGCCTCGAAAAGGAAGTAAATATCTAAGACTAGGGTTAAGAGGAAGAGTCTGAGCAGGAGATACACATCTGGGAACTATCAGATATTAATTAAAATAATGTGTTCACCAAGGGAGCAGAGAAGGAGAATGGTCTAATGGCAGTGCTAGGCACTTGAAGCATTTGTAAGGTGGAAAGCTGGAGAAGAGTCAGTAAGGCCACTTAGAAGAGGGCAATGGAGCAGTAATGAGAACTCAGAGAGTAATTGGAAATCAAATGACAAACAGGCAGAAAATGATGCATGCTGAACAAGGCTAAGAGGTCAAATATCAGTTAAGATTGCAACTGAGAATCAACCATGCAATCTGGCCACAGAGGATGTGAGTGGCCAGTAGAGAGCTCTCTCAGTACTGGGGGGCTGAAAACCTGACCAGTGCACTCAAAGGGGAGTCAGAGAGCATGGTAAATAAATATATATGAATCTTTCAAATAATGTTTCTTTTAATTTAAAAAATACTTTTTTGGGGGGGCAGGTAGTGGTGGCACACACCTTTAACCCCACTGTAGGCAAAGGCAGGAGGGTCTCAGTGAGTTTGAGGCTAGCCTGGACTACAAAGTGACTTCCAGGACAGACAGCCGTGTAACACCTCTGTTACATAGAGAAACCCCGTTTTAAAACAAACAAACAAACAAACAAACAAAAAACTTTTTAAAAAATTTTTTGAGGTAGGGTCTTGCTTATGTAGTCTAAGCTGGCCTTGAATTCATGATCCTCCTGTTCCTATCTTCTGAGCTGAAATTATAGGCATGTACCCTATAGTCAGCTCTGAATTATTTTTCTTTAATTCTTATAGCTCAGAGAAAGGCAGCCAGGAAGGTATATGGCTGCTTTGCTTTGTTTTAAGGATGAATGACACAATAGCGGCTTGTATTTTGTAACTCATAAGAATAATTCATGGAGTGGGGAAAAATCTGGATGCAGAAGAGATGGGAGATAATCACTAAAACAGTATTTTAAAGAAAAGAAAAGGAATAAGATCTAGGGAATAAGAGAAGGATTTGGGTCAGGCTAATCCCAGTACTTGGGAGGCAGAGACAAGCTGATCTATGTGAGTTCAAGGATAGCCTGGTCTACAAAGCAAGTTCCAAAACAGCAGGGCTACACAGAGAAACCCGGAGAGAGGGAGAGGAGAGAGGGAGAGATGAGGGAGGGAGGGAGAAAGAGAGAGAGAGAGAGAGAGAGAGAGAGAGAGAGAAACTGGGAACTGGTTGGATTTAGAAGCACAAACACAAAGAAAGAGGCAGAATAGAATAGATTGGCAGAGACAGTAGATCTTTGAGATTCTTTTTTAAAATTTATTTTTGATTTTTTGAGACAGGGTTTCTCTGTGTAATAGCCTTGGCTGTTCTGGGACTCACTCTGTAGACCAGGCTGGCCTCCAACTCACAGAGATCCACCCGCCTCTGCCTCCCCAGTGGTGGGATTAAAGGCCTGCGCCACCACCACCCTGCTGGGTTTGGGGTTTTGAGGAGTCAAACATGGCTGCTTCCCCATGTTGGGGGATGGCTGTCTGCTGAATACAAAAGAAAGACAGAGTCCTGGTCTCAGTGTCCCTGGTCCTTTGAAGCAATCACTCCACATCTTTGTAGAGGCCTATAGGCATTTGGGACCTTAGGTTTCAAGACCATGAATGCCAAGACAGGGAGCCTGGGATCTGTGCACAACTGCTAGAATGGTATTCTTTAAAGCAAACTTTCACTGGTTAATTTAGGGTGAGACCTGTTTCTAGGAATGCCAGAGTTTCTTCAGCATCTTCACTGTAGATTTCTGGTTCTCATGCTTAGGTGGTGACCCCAAGTGTATCATCTAAGGATGATATCCGGTGATGATAACTTGGTAAGCAGTGAGTGAGTCACAACTCTCCAGTGCTATGAGACATTGGCTTCTCAGGTGCTGTGTCTCTGTGAGACAGTACTAAAGGGGAGTAAGAAGGGTAAAGCCATCTCTCTCTGGTTTTGTTATCCCTGGAACAGCCCAGGATTCAAGGAGGCTACAGAACAGTTGGTTTGAGTTTAAGTGGTAATAGAAACGACTCCAGAAATACTAGTTTGATTTGGTGACGCTCTCTCTCTCGCTCTCTCTCTCTCTCTCTCTCTCTCTCTCTCTCTCTCTCTCTCTCTCTCTCTCTCTCTCTCTCTCCTTTCTTTTGAGACAGGGTTTCTCTGTGTATCTCTGGCTGTCCTGGAACTCACTCTGTCAGACCAGGCTGGCCTCAAACTCAAAGATCCGCCTGCCTCTGCTTTCACCTCCTGAGTGCAACAAAAGATGTGCTTTTATAAAAATGTACATTATAAAAATTTGAGGAAAACAGAGGAGGAAACAAGAGTAAGAAAGGATTTGGTAAGGACACTACATAAAGATCTCTCTACTTGCCTCTACCTCCAGGATGCTGAGAATACAGGACTGAAACAGGTGTTGACATGGCCTTAGGACAGTTTTTACAACTTTTGTTTTGTTTAGTTTCTGGTAGGCTTTCTGTCTCTCCTTTAAAGTAAGTTTCCTAAGCTATACAAACCAACCCAAACTGAACACAGAGAACCTGAAGGTTAGAGAGGAATCAGGCAGAGAGCACTAGGACTTCACACTGGGCACTGTAGACACCCTTGATGTAGAAAAAGACAGCATCCTCAATGTCAAAGACAAACACATTTGTTTAATACATCATGTTGAGATGAATTAAAAGAAAAGCCTTCCTTATTTAAGATGATAATTTTGACAGGAAAAAAAGAAAAAAAAAAAAAAGAAGAAGGCTGCCCACCCACCACTGCTCTGCTCTTTTGTCCTCCCACCTTTTGAAGTTCTAAGTACTTGGCTCACCTGGGCTGTGGCTGACACTCTGAGAAAGTGCATTGGTAATGTTGGGCAGTTCATGCCCATAGTTTCCATCTTCCAGGGGACAGATATCCAAGTCGTTCCACTTCTGCAGCTGTTGTAGCCAACAGGATTTTTCTTCCAGTTTGCAGTGCGGATTTAAAATTATGCATACCCATAAAGCCCCTAAGAAACAGAGCAGTCCACATTCTTAGTATCTGGGAGTAACATGTATGTTTGTATTTCAGTCCTCAGGACCCAAACAGCCCAAATGCCCCCAAAGCAAACAAACAAGTAACAAACCCATCAGCATCCTTCTCTCTCATACATGTGAAACATAATACATACTTACATACATACATACATACATAAGATATAAATATGAATATAATTGCTAAGATTTTCAGAATTGGCTGAGGGACTAAAACTTGGGAAACTATAAGCCAAATGAATCTTAAGTTTCTGTCTAATAAAGTGGCCACGGCAATGTAAAAGTAACCTAACAACAGGTGAATAAGATCCTGTTTTCTGTGTTTAAGAGCTATCTGGTAGGAGAGATGGATAAATAAGCATAATGCCATGTGAATAAAATGTGTTAAATTAAGATATGTTCAGGGTACAGGGCTTGGGAGATGAATCAGTGGATAAAGCGCTTGCCTTCCAAATGTAAAGATCCAAGTTCAGATCTCAAGGGCCCACACAGAAGCCAGATGCAGTGGCATGTGCCTGAAATCCAAGTATTGTCATGGTGAGACTCAAGGTGGAGACAGGAGGCTCTCTAGAAGCTTGCAGGGTCAGCTAGATTGGCCTGTGTGACAAAGTTCCAGACCAATGAGAGACCCTACCTCCAATAAGTGGATGGTGCCTAAGAACCAACAAGTGGAAGGTTGTCCTCTGTCTACACTTGTGGACATGCACGAGTGCATTACACACACACACACACACACACACTATATTCACAATATAATAATGCATAGAAAAAGGCACTTAACACAGGGTCAAGGTTGGAAGGGAGGTGCTCAGAAAAGTTTCATATTTTAGGTAGATTCTTGACCTCTAAGTCCCTCAATTATTAAACTAAGAACACGAAAATATCTATTTTATTGGGATAGTAGGAGAATTACGTGAAATAAAATTTCCAAAGGATCTAGTCTAATATATTACAGAAAAAATCTTAGTATTTCTTTTTTTTCAAAGAAAAATGACTTACTTTGGACTTGGATTTTGGAACTGCTAATCAAATTTGTGATCACTTAAACACTACTTCTTTCAGTTTTTTTCTGTCACTGTGGTTTAATATCACATATTCCAAAGAACAAATGGGTGCCATTTCTTGCCATTTCTTTGTGCACTTCCCTCTCTTCTCCAAGGAAAACAAGCTGTTCTTTTCTGGGTTGGCTATATAGCTGGGCCAGACACTTTCTCAATCCCCAGTTAGCAATAATCAGAAATGAAGTGATTTTCGCCCAGTAGGGTCTTGCTAAATTAAATTGTTCAGGCTAGCTGGCTTTGAACTCACTTCCCCCCGACTTACTTTCCCAAAGCTGGAATTACAGCTACTATATCCAGTTACATAATGCTTCTTAATCACCAATGGAAATTTCACAGCCTTTCTCTAAGAATTATTACTATTATTATTTATTTATGCATTCATGTGTGTATGTCTTTATATGTGCCTGTGCATGAAGTTAGAGGCATTCCCTTGGAGCTGGAGTTATAGGTAGTTGGGAGCCAGCTGATCTGGGTGCTGGGAATTGAATTTGGGTTCTCTGAAAAAAATAATAGATGTTCTTAACCACTGAGCCATGTGTCTCCAGCCCCAGCTTTCAGAGCCTCTTTAAATAAAATAGGATGTTTCTCACAATTAGAAATGTTTTAAAGGCCACCTAACCTTAATTTCAGATGCTAACTGAAGATGAAATTTTGTTTATATTGGCTAAACTCTTATTTTAAAAAATTAAAATTATATTTGTTTATATTTATTTATTTTTTACTTTTTGAGACAAGGTCTGAACATATAGTCCTGGCTGGCCTGGAACTTTCTATGTAGACCAGGATGGCTGAAAACTACAGAGACCAGGTTGGGTGTTGGTGGCGCACGCCTTTAATTCCAGCACTCAGGAGGCAGAGGCAGGCGTATGTATCTCTGTAAGTTTGAGGCCAGCCTGGTCTCCAGAGCGAGTGCCAGGATAAGCTTCAAAGCTACACAGAAAAACCCTGTCCAAAAAAAAAAAAAAAAAAAAAAAAAATACAGAGACCAGCTTGCTTCTGTCTCTTGGGTACAGGGATTAAAGATGTGCCACCATGCCTGGCTTGCCATGAAGTTCTTAAACAAGTCCAGAAAAGGAGAAAGAAGAGTAGCATAGAAGGCCAAAGCCTAAGCACTGAAGATCTCCTCACTCCTGAGTGGTCTGGCTAGGTGTGACACCAGAGAGGAGACTCGGGGAAAACAACAAAAGTGAGGCTAAGGGTTTTGTTGTGGTGTTGGAATTCACTGAGTTACTAGGATGATCCTGAATTCCTGTTTCTCCTTTCTCTACCTTCCAAGTGCTTGGAAGCTGTGTGCCAGCACACCTGCTTTTATGCAGTGCTGACTGAACTTTGGGTCTTGTACATGCTAGGGAAGCATTCTACTAGCTGAGCTATGTCTCCAGAACCTGAGGCTAAGGATTTAGAGAGCTAGGTTATACCATGCAATTGAAGCCAAGTGAAGAGGCTCTCTTCCGGCAATGGCTTCTATGTAGGTAATAGGAAATAAAATCCTTAACAGGCAAGCACAGTACTGTAGAAGCAACAAAGTGAGATTAGGAAGCTTCTGTTGAACCTAAAACATTCCAGAGTTAGAATTAGAAAGACCCAAACAAACACTGATGGCAAATGTTCTCTTAGCTTGTGAGGGATAGGAACTTACCCAGCTCATCCCAGAGCTGCCTGCACTTGTCTGTCATGCTTGTTCCCTGTTGCCTCCAGAGTGTGAGGCGGGGATCGGCCATAAACTGCTCCGTTATAAGTGTCAGCATCCTGGCTCCATTGGAATCTCTCATCCGAAGCATCTCTCGAACCTGACACATAAGGAGGGGCACATAATTGGTAACTGCAGAGCACAGAAAAGGAGAAGGTGAAGGATGGAGAACAGGTTGACAAGATGATGTACTTGTGTGGTGTACTTAAGAGACAGAAAGAAAACCTCTCAACTCTGTAAGTGAAATTCCTACATGTATCAAGAAAGTCTGTTACATATATTGAGATACCTCTTTAAACACACTAGGACAGCTGGAATAAAAAAAGATAGTAACAGCACTGGCCTGGATGTAACGAAATCAGAACCCATGTACTGTTGGTGGGACTATAAAATTAGGAGCAACCTTGGAGAATTGTCTATGTAGAACTTGTTCAAGAATGTTATATAGTAACCTTTTTTTTTCAGAGAAGCCAAAAGGTGAAAGCAATCCAAGTGTCTACTAACAGACAGAGGATAAATAAAACAGACTATTACTTAACCATAAAGACTAACCTTTATAACAGTAGGCTTAGAAGTGAAAGAAGTCAGTCACCACACACACACACACACCCCACACACACGTGCACGCACTCGTGTGTATTTTTATTATCTGACAGTCCAGAACAGAGGACATTACAGACATAGGAAGTAGAGCTGAGGTTGCCAAGAGCAGGGGATGGGTAGGTGATATGGAGGGTAAGAGAGAGTGTTAGTGTGGAGATGAGGCTGTTATCTGCTCCAGTTAGTCTGTATTGAATCAAACAGTACCTTTAGGCTGTGCCTTGCCCTAAGTCCTTTTATAAAACTGCAGTTTGTTCCTTGCTGAGAGCAAATGCTGATGCAGAAGAGCTCCACTTCTTGTTTGTGCAGGTAAATAACTACCATCTTCCCAGCACAAACCAGGGGCACATGCCAACAGACAACTCACTCATGAAAAATATTATCACTATCAACTTATCAAAACAAATCAAGAACACATGGATTGCATCAAAACCATGACCAAAAACATAGACCAACTAACTAAACATAGACCAACAGATGATGCAATCTCCTTACCTGGGTCTATAAAAGGAGGGACACGCCCTCTACCAAGGAATGGATAAAGAAAATGTGTTACATTTGCATAATGGAGTATTACTCAGCTGTTAAAAAATGAGGGCACCAGGAAATTTGCAGGCAAACGGAAGGAACTAGGAAAAAATCATTCCAAGTGAGGTAACACAGATGGGTAACGACAAACATGTATGTACTCACTTGTAAATTGATATTAGCTGTAAAATAAAGGATTACTATGCTAATATCCACAGGCCCAGAGAGACTAGGTAACAAAAAGAGTTCAAGGCTGGGACACACAGATCTCTATGGGAAGGGGAAATAGAAGAGATTTCATGAGTGGATTCAGGGCAGGTGGAGATGAGAATATGAACAATTAGTTTGGGGGGCATGGAGAGGTTGAGTACTGAGGGGGACTGCTTGGGGGCATTTTGGAGTCAGGCAGAAGCCTGGCCCAGGGCTCCCAAGAATCTATAGGGAGGAATCTATATCTAGCTTAGACTCCGAGCAATAGTGGATAAGTAGCCTGAACTGGTCATCTCCTTGACCAGATTGGTGCCTGGCCCAACTATCATCAGAGAGGCATCACCCAGCAACTGATGGAAGCAGATGCAGAGACCCACAGGCAAACGTCCTTTGGAGAAGGAAGAAGTGTAGGAGCCACAGGAGTCAAGGACACCAAGGGAAGGCTCACATAATCAACTAACCTGGGTTCATAGAGGTTGGCAGAGACTGAAACAACGTCCAGGGAGCCTGCATGAGACTGACCTAGACACTCTGCATATATGTCACAGTTGTGTAGTTTGGTCCTCTTATGGGATGCCTGACAGCAGGAACAGGGGATGTCTCTGACTCTTTTACTGGCTTTTGGGAACCTACTCTTCATACTGGGTCGCCTTGCCCAGCCTTAACACATGGGGAGGTGCTTAGTTTTACTGCAACTTGATACGTCATGTTTTATTGATACTCATGAGACCTGCCCTTTTCTGGATGGAGATGGAAGAGGAGGAGACTAGAGTATGGGAAGGGGGAATGGGGATGTGGGACTGGGATGGGAGGATGGGGGGAGGCTGTGGCCAGGGTGTAAAATAAATAGATGAGTTAAAAAACAAATAAAAGGAGGGACACCTAACAATGGGGTACAAGGACACCTGTCAACCCATCAGCAGACCAAGTGATACAGAATGATCAATAGGTGAATGACTCTTGGCTGTCTCTGGGGCTTCAGCTAAACATAATCCCTCTGCTTTACAGTGCCTGCTTAGACTGCTGTTCTTCCAATACGGCTCTTCATCTTGAACTAGCTCTGTACTTGGAACCTGCTCTACAACTCAGAAGAGTTCTGTGACTGGGCTTTCATGTCAGTATCTTCATGCATGTGTGTGTGGAAGTTAGAGGGTGACTTTGAGTGTTCTTCCTCAGGTGCACCTTCATCTTTCGCTTGAGACAGTCTCTCATTGACTTGGAACTCTGCTAAGTAGGCTAAGCCCACTAGCCAATGAACTTCAGAGTGCCAGCATTTCATCTCCCACCTTACCAGCACCTTTTGCAGGGGATTGACTGCAGGTGTAATTCACTGCTGAACCATCTTCCCATCCCCGTATGTTAATATTTTATCTGACCCCTTGAGCAACTCTCTTTGCACGTGTCTGCGCTCAGCTCTTGACTTCTGAGAAGCCTCGCTGACCTCTGAAGCTCAGTCTTTTTGTATCCCCCAAAGAGTTAAAGCATCTACTTCTTCCAGCACAAGCATACATACACACACATATATAATAGATTGGAAGATAATCGGTAGATAGATAGATAAATAGGTTGATGATAAGATAGACGATGTAGCGTGTGTGTATAAAACTGGGATGATGTATAATGTGTGATCTTATAATATTAGTAATTAATGTTGGAATAAAACAAATTGTGGGGCCACCCAGACAACCTAGCACATAAAGATACTTGGTTCTTTTTGTTGTTTTGTTTTTCGAGACAGGGTTTCTCTGCATTTCCTTGGAGCCTGTCTTGGCACTCGCTCTGTAGACCAGGCTGGTCTCAAACTCACAGAGATCCACCTGCCTCTACCTCCCAAGTGCTGGGATTAAAGGCGTGCACCACCAATGCCCAGCGATACTTGGTTCTTAAGCCTGGTGACTGAGTTCAATCTCAGGAACCCAGGAAGATGGAAAACAGCACTGATTCTGTAGTCACTCTCTGAGCACTACACTCATGTCAGAAGATCTCCCCACAAAATAAATATTAAAGAAACCCTGCCATTGTAATGTGAAATCAGGACTAGTTGGTAAATTAAAACCAAGAAAATTGAGTATTGTTTTTCCATAAATTTGGTGTAGTGGAAAGACAAACAGTTTGTTTCTGAAGCAGCTCACTTCTGACCAATAGGTAAAGGCATGGAGTTTCTTTCTGAGGTGATAAGAATGTTAACTGTGGCGATAGCTCCATTCTATCTGTGAATACACCAACCCTGCAAAAAACCAAACTCCATAAATACCCACGTAACTGTATTTGAGTCTTGTACATGCTAGGCAAGTGTTCTACTGCTGACCTGTATCTCCTGCCAAAATTGTACTGATTATATGTGTAAACCATACAGCATATATATTATATCACAGTAAAGGTGCTATATGGAAAGAGAGAAAACAAACAACAAAAACCAATCCAGCCTGCCTGGCATGAGTGCCTCAAGTTTCAAAATAATGTCTTCTGGAACACTGTTGAAACTCTAGTCTCTGAAGCTTCATCAGGCAGCTGTGGGTTCACAGCAGAGAGAAGATGGTTCCTTGCTAAAGTTCTCCAGCAATGCTGGCTCATTTAGTGAGTACAGCAGAAACAATAGGCTACCAGAAGGAGGTCTTGGGCTCCATGGAATAGCCCGATCAGAGGATTCTGCTTATCTTCTCCTGCTAGGTGTTAAGCACTCAGTACAGCTGGGTGGCAGAAGGTGTACAGCTGGTACACCAGAAGTGGGGGGGGGGCAGGTTTACTTGATGTTTAAAAGGAAGAAGCCCTTTTTTATTTCTTACCTTGGAAAACATGGAATTGAGCTGCTTCCCAGAGCCATAGTAACCCCCCTGGGAGAGAAAGAGCTTCACTTGTTCTTTCACCTGTTCTTCATCCAGGTGCCAACAGTTCTCGTCATCGATGCTGGCCCCCGCTGTGGGGTCAGGGGCGCCTGTGAGGAGTGGGGATGCTGTAATGAATGCTTTGGATTCCCATGTCACATATTCAGCTTCGTGGAACTTTGTGAGCATATAGATGCAGACAATCAGTGCTTTGGCAACTGTGTGGGACTTGAGAAATGTAAGACGCATTCTAGTTTTAGGCTCACAGAAGTCACAGTTGCAGCCTTCTAAGGTCTATGATTACTGAAAAGCCTAGAATGGAATATATACTGTGGGGTGGTGATGCATGCCTTAAGTCCCAGAACATGGGAGGCAGAGGCAGGTGGATTGGATGCCTCATCTACAGGGTGATGTTCCAGGACAGTCAGGGCTACACAGAGAAACCCTGTCTTGAAAATACAAACAAACAAAAAAGTAATAAAAGAAAAACATACACATCTCTTGTTAAATATACATGTGGCCTCTGTCCTTTATTTAATAGTGTACAACTATTTTTTAAAAAAGATTATCATTTTATGTGTATGGGTATTTGCATGTATTCTGTGTACCACATGTGTATAGTGCCTGCAGAGGCCAGAAGTGGGCACTAGATTCTCAGGAACTAGTTACAACTGGTTGTTAGCTGCCACGGGAGTGCTGGGAATCAAACCCAGGTGCTCCATAAGAGCAACAAGTACTCTTACCTGCTGAGCCATCTCTCCAAGCATAGCATACAACTTTGTAGTCCTTGGAATTTTTCAAAATGGTGCCTTTCTGTGTGCTAATGAATTGCTGATGACAGTCAAGACAAGCTAGATAGCTTCAGGATTGGCTATGCTCACCCAGGCAGAGTTGGGATATTTAGTCCCATGTGTCAACCTCTAATGAGGAGAAATACAGTCTTGAAGGTTAAGTTGCTCACCAATGGCCAGTGATTTAAACAGCCATATCTATGTAATGATACTTCCATAAAAAAAACAAAAAACAAAAAACAAAAAACAAAACTATAGTATAGACTTTGCAGAACTTCCAAATAGTAGGACATGGGAAAGGTTCTCAAGAGCAGCATACCTGGAGAAAGTATAGAAGCACACCCACTTATAAGATATGCCTTACCTTATATGTATTTCAGTTGTACCTTCAGTAATATATAATGATCGTGCAAATGTAAGTAAAATGTTTCCCTGATTCTGTGACCTGCCCCAGCAAACTAACTGAAAATGAGGAAAAGAGTGTGGGTCCCTGGGTCTCTGGTCAGTCAGTCTGATAGCTAGCTAAAAGCTGAAACAACCTGGGGCATGTGACTGGCATCTGAGGTAGGGCAGAAGTAACAGTTCTGGAGATTGAGCCTTCAACTCAATGGATGTGGACCTTGCATCATCTCCAGGTAGTTAGTATCAGAAATGAATTCCATCAGAGGACATGCTAGGGTCTGCTGTGGAACTAGCTGACTGGTGTGCAGAGAAAAAAAAAACAAAAACAAAACACCCCACCAACAGTCAAAGAAGTGTCTGTGCTGTATTCTGAGGGTATGATAGGGGAAACTTAGTTTATTTCTCCTCTGTATCTTCAAAACACAGGAGGAAAAATCATAGCATTTCCCCTCTGGGAAACTCTGTCTCAAAAAACCTGAAGAAAAAAAGAAACTAAGAGTTAATCAATTGTCTGGACAGAATGAATTGATTAAGGTTAAATTATTGCAATTGTAGCAGACAGAAAAGGGTTGTTTTATCTGTTTGTTTTTTGCTTTTTTTTTAAGCAGATGCTGGGACCAACTATCACCAGCTACCAAGTACTAAAAAATTATGCTTCTAAAATCTGTTGATGTGGATTCTGCACACAGAGCAATCTAGTTGCCCTACATGTGCTACTCACAACAGAAGCCCCCCTTTCTTGGAGGGGGGCTGTTTTTTTCCAGACACGGTTTCTCTGTGTAGCCCTGGCTGTCCTGGAACTCACTTTGTAGAGCAGGCTGGCCTCAAACTCACAGAGATCCACCTGCCTCTGCCTCCTGAGTGCTGGGATTAAATGCGTGCACCATCATGCCCAGTGAAAAGTGTTGCTTTTAATAGTGGTTGTGAAAAAGGTAATCTTTTTTTAATCAAGAAAATGTTATATAATTACCATTCACTTGGTTGATTTCTGAGTTGGACGACAGAATCTCGTCTGCCAGCTTTTGTGCAGTAGGAAGAACTTCGGTGTGGTGTGCTGTGATTAAATACTGAATAAACTTCTGTAGCTGGTCCCTATTCATCTGGAAAAGGGTTTCTGAGATAGGAAGACGCAATTTGACCTGGTCTGGTTTACGGATCCTGTAGAGTGAGAGTGCCACTACATGAGCACAGTAGAATATGTCCTTATTCCCACAGCCACAAGTCACGGAAGTGATTTTGCATCTATCAAAACTGATTGCAACTTTGTAAGTCACTGCTGGTTCAGAAGCAGTGGCCGGTTCAGTTACTGTGCCGCTCAGATGGAAGCCTAAAGGAACAAAGGAAAACGTTGTTTAGAGAGTAGCAGAAAACTTAAGGGTTAGTCAATTCACAATGCAGTGAACATCTCCTATACAGGTAATGAGATATGTCTGGGCAACACCAAGCTCAGAAGTGAAAGTTAAGTACTTTCCTGAAGGAATACACAACCCAGAAAAACAAGATTCTTTATCTTGGAGTGAATCTCTTGGACCAATGTAAAAACTTTTAAATATACTTTTGTATATATTTTTCTGGAAGGACAGTTCATAGTTTTCATTGCAGTCTCAAATGGTTAATAAACCCTTAAAAGTTAAGAATTCAAGCCGGGTGGTGGTGGTGCACGCCTTTAGTCACAGCACTTGGGAAGCAGAGGCAGGAGGATCTCTGTGAGTTTGAAGTTAAGAATTCTTTTCTTTTCTTTTTCTTTTCTTTTTTTTTTTTTTTTCAAGACAGGGTTTCTCTGCTTAGCTTTGGGGCCTATCCTGGCACTCGCTCTGGAGACCAGCTTGGCCTCAACCTCACAGAGATCCGCCTGCCTCTGCCTCCCGAGTGCTGGGATTAAAGGCGTGCACCACCAACGCCCGGCTAAGAATTCTTGTAGTAGAGTTTGAACTCAAAGTGGTGATTAAGACAAGTCCACCAACACTAGTACAATCTAGACTGCAGTGAGTGCTATAGATGAGATGGAAAGAAGAATTCCATGAGGAAGAATAAGTATGATTAAGGAAATTTCATCCTTAAAAACATACAGTTCCAAAATGGTGACCACATGGAACATCCAGAAAGCAAGAAAGCTAAGATACAGAACTTGGTGCAAAGTATGCCATATGGTACTACATCTCTATTCACAAGGCACACAACACCAGGAACTAGTAACTGCAGAAAGAATGCTTTATTTTTTGAAACAAGGCATGTAGCCTAGGAAGTCTCCAACTTGATATGCAGTCAAGGATGACGTTGGAACCCTGACCCTCTGCCGCTACCTCTTGAGTGGTGGGATACAGTGGGTGGCACTGCTCCCAGTCTCATGCTTGTGCACCAACAACTTTATTAACTGAGTTATCACTGCAGTTGGAAAACAGTGTTCTCTTAACAAAAGAAGTAATGGGAACAACACCAAACACAACTTTATTAACTGAGTTATCACTGCAGTTGGAAAACAGTGTTCTCTTAACAAAAGAAGTAACAGGAACAACACCAAACACTGCCCCAAACCAACTACTTCACAAAGTTTTCAGGTACCCCTGTGATGATACTTCACTCACACTCTCCTCAATGGCACATGCCGGCAAAAACAAACCAAAACAATCCCAGGTATATCACAGCATTACCCTACTTACTGAGTACTCCAATGCCCAACAACTATAAGCTTTTAAAATAGCCTCTTTTACCAGAACTTGAAGGATGATGGACAGATTGAGGAGAGGCAGTTAAAAAGACTATATAACATTTACTCCACTAGTGGTTCCAGCAGGCTACAAAGGCCAACATCCTTATTTCTTTCCTGTAATGGGCCCGTCTTTGATGCAAAAAAAGCAGGAATGGTAGACATGTAGAGACTTGGCTTTTGTTGTTGCCCCCCACCCCAGTTTTACCATGTAGCTTTGGCTGTAGACCAGGCTGGCCTTGAACTCACAAAGATCTGCCTGCTTCTGCCTCCTGGGATTACAGGTGTGTGCCACCATTGCCCATCGTAGAGACTTGTTTTAAGAGAATACATAAATATACTGCTGCTCCTGTTGTTCCTCTATCACATCATATAAAAGCTTAAAATAACTGTTTTTGGAGGGGAAGCAGAGGCAGGCAGATGTCTGTGAGTTCAAGGCCAGCCCAGTCTACATGATAAGTTCTAGGGCAGCCAGGTTACTTGGAGAGAACCTGTCTCAAACAAAACAAACCCCACCACCAATTAAAAAAAAAAGCCAAATTCTCAAATACTTTAATATTGAGTGGACTCTGAATAAAGCACCAAATATTTTCAAGGAGTTCTTGTTTAGTTTTATTAGTAGTATATAGTATATAGTATATTTTTTCCCAAGTCACAAAGCAGGCTTTGACATGAAAAAGAAATGTTTTATTTTAAATTTCTACCTGTGATTTTAGACTCCTTCTCTACCCAGCTCTATCTTATTTAGAAATATAAGAATAAGACAAACCTTAGCCTCTTCTCCATTATATATCATGATGGCTCTGATATCTTAATTTCTAAGAAAATCACTGGCCTTTTAAAGGTTCTTTCATGCTTGGCCACCTACCAGGGTACCTAACTTTCTTTACCTTCAACATGCACCAAGTATCACTTGGGCAAGAATCAACACACCAACAAACCCAGGGTGGTGGCACATCCCTGTAACTGCAGCACTCAGGACTCAGAGGAGGACAATCATAAGTTTGGGGCTAGCTTGGGTTATATAGACATAGCAAGACTTTGACTCAAAAACAAAAAAAAATCAAAATGAACAACCAAGTGTCCGGGAGAAGTCCTTGCTATGATCTGCTGTGCTCAAATATGTACCAAACACTGTTTATTAAAAACCCACGCATGGCTTGTGACTTACGACATGTGGTTCTCCTGACTATTATAATAAATGACAGTACAAGAAGCAATAGAAATGGTCAGACACTTTCCCTCAATGTTGTTCTCATCATTAAAAAAGCAGGAGAAGCTGGGTGGCAGTGGCACACGCCTTTAATCCCAGGACTCTAGAGGCAGAGGCAGACAGATAACTGTGAGTTTGAGGCCAGCCTGGACTACAGAGAGAGTTCCAGGACAGCCAAGGCTACACAAAGAAACCCTGCCTCGAAAAATTAAAAAACAACAACAACAAAAAAAAACTGGAGGGTTCAGGAAACAGATTGAACTCAACCTTGAATTAAATAGAAAGTACTAAAGACAATTCTTCCTTTTGGATGTATAAATATATATTATTATAATAATAATAGATAATATTAAATATATGTGGTGAAATTTCTTTTTTTCCAAGTAGGGAAAATGCCATATTCTACACTGCTTAGCTCAAATATCACTTTGTATTAAAGCACCTGGTACTTCATATTGTTGAATCATTAAATGAAAAAGCTTTAACATTTATGCCTGTGGAGCTTAAAATTCTAGTTTACAAGAAAGATTTTTGCCCAGAATCAAATAATAAGGACCTAAGAAATAATCATTTCATTGGTTGCCCAGAACAGTTGTGTAATTTACATGATTATAGCCATGAGAACAAAAAACTTAAATGACCATAATGTCTGAAATATCTTGGGCTTTAAAAATTAGGAATAATAGATTTATAGTGATTCTTTCAAATTAGTGTTCTTTCCAAATACAGCCAATTGCTTATAAGCCTCTCTTTCCTCCCAGTGCTAGGGATGGAACCCAGAGTTTTCATGCACTCTACCACTGAGCTGCAGACCCTAACTAGTTCTTTTATTGATCAATAAATAATTTTTAATCAGTAACACTTTTTGAACATGAACACATGGTGGGCATTTTCTTTTTTTTAATTCGTATCTATCGTGTGTGTGTGTGTGTGTGTGTGTGTGTGTGTGTGTGTGTGTGTGTGAGAGAGAGAGAGAGGAGAGAGAGAGAGAGAGAGAGAGAGAGAGAGAGAGAGAGAGACTTGGGGTGATGCCACAGTCCTGTGTGATCAGAGGATAACTCTTTGGAGTCAGTTCTCTCCTTCCACTTTTATATGGGCTTTGGGCATTGAACTCAGGTCTTAAGCTTCATGACGTGTTATACCTACTGAGATACCTTTCCAGCTTACTCTCACTTTTATTGAAAAATCGTGTAATTTCCACATTATCTTGTATTTCTGGTACCTAATATTCAGACAGCACAGAATAGATATTTACACAAATGTTTATGGAATACAACAGTTTTGAATCCTGTAATGTCTCACCAGTGATCACAGGACAGTACAACATGTGTTGGGATCTCTTTCAGTCTCTTCAGACTTGCTCAGCACACTGCCACACCAAACTTACTGAGTGATTCGGTGGTTGATTTTCAGCATTTTTTTCCCTTTATGCCTTTATATGTGAGATTCCCTATAGAAGCATGACCTTCTCACCTCCTCCTCATTCCAAATTCTCATCCCACAAGGTATTCTCTGTAAGAATCTTCCCCACGTCTTCGGACACCTAGCTAAGTGCTTCTTCAGGTCTCTCATTTTCATTAGTTTTCCTCTATTGGAGAAAATGACCATCAGTGTAATAGTTTCATGTTTGTCTTTTCCCTTTAGATTGTGAACTCCTTGTAAACAAGGGTTTGTTTTCATCTTTATATTTTCAGCTGGCATATTGTAAGGGATTAATAAGTATCTGTTTATAGATGAATGAGTAAGTGAACACTAAATTGAATCTTTACATATTCATATCTATAATTCACAGAGGATTAAGTATGTTTATAAAATTCCTGATTTTGTGATTAAAATATATCAGCAAATTAAACAATTTTACTGGGATGGTGAACAAAGTTACAAGAATTTATATACAAAGTTAACTGACAGTCTTCCTGTCTCACTGCAGTTGTTGGAGTTGCAGTGGCTGCAGAGATGGCATCTACCAGCCCTTCTGGATGCTCTCCCAAGAGTCAGTGTCTAGAGTATGAAGATGCAATTCTTTAGAGCCAGTGATACATCCTGTCCTGAATGTGGCCTGGCTGTAGGTGCCAGGAGAATGGAGAATTTTCAGCAAAGCCAACAAAAGATTCATCTCAACTGGAGGTTCTTAGACTCGACTGAGTGATGGACGCTTGTCTGTCATAGCTGGAAAGAGTGCAGGAGCTACAAGTTTTGATGAGTTTGGCAATTCTAAGCATCAGAATAAGGGAATAATGAGTAGCTCTAAACAAGCAATGACGAAGTAATTGAAGGAAATCACACAACAGACACAAGCAACCTTTCTTGAAATACAGTGATGGAACAAATATTTTATTCAAGCAAATATATGAGGCAAAGAGCTGATGCTACTATAACTTCTGCTTGTCTGTATACTGCCTGTAGA